TTCTCGAATCAATAATAAATTTTATAAAAAATATTTTTTGAGCACTCGGTAGTGAAAAAGGTGTATTCAATCTTCGTCTCACGGCTTCATATGTCAAATGGCTGCTGTTGATTGGTTGGAGCAGTTGATTGTTTTCTGTTCTCTTTCACATCCTTCGTATGAAATTTATGACAATCCTCACCGCAAAAGCATAAACAAAATACATGTACATTTTGTTATTGTCGTACCGATACCACCTTATTGAATACGCCTTTGTAGTGAATAAGCTTTTTCAATTAAAACTGAATTGCGAAAAAAGCTGTTGTTGTTGTAGCGGCTATAACAACCCCGCCCTGATCGGTTAATATCTCAGTCGTTGTCGTCAAGTTCCACTAACGGCAGCCCTAAGAAGCGTGCAGCCTCAATAGGGTCGGCCCACAGGGACAAAGCCGTTAGGGTTGTCGGCTTTTCCGGGCATACGAAGAGATGTTTCGAGTCATGGGGTGTCTTCGCATGCCGGACACTCATTTGTTACATCTGCGTTTAGTCTGCTCAGGTATGAGTTTAACCTGCTGCAGTAGCCAGAGCGAAGTTGGGCTATTGTGGTTCTAGTCTCCCGAGACAGATGAAGCTCCGTCTCGTCAATGTCCGGTGGTTGTGCGCCTAGAACGGCATTCACAGGTCTGGAGTCTACATAAATCGAGACTGACTCCCTGTGAATGCCATTCAGGGCCTGTCGATAAGCTGACGGATCCAGGGGTTGTTTAACCTCTGGACTTCGTCCGTCAGTTCGTAGGGATGCCTCCTGACGTGCCTGGGCGAGCGCTCTTCAGCAAGCAGTTGCCTATTTGGGTGATCGAGTCTATGGCTCCCAACAAGAAACTGCTTGCAGAGCATTGTGTTGTGCTCCTTAATCGGGAGCAATTTCGCATCGTCGTGCAGGTGGTGTTCTGACGACATCAGAAGGCATCCAGTCGCTGTCCCTAGTGCGGTGTTTTTTTGTCGTCTGCAGCTTCATCCACTGCATCCTACTAGTCCCCGCCGACCACACTGGTGCTGCGTAATTTAAAACCGGGCGGCCTATTGTTTGTATGTTGCCAGCAACGTTTCTTTGTCTTTGTTGACAATAGCGGTTGTGTACGCAGAGAAGGAGAGCAGACTGACGAATTTTACTCCGAGTGTTTTGGGGTTATTCAACGTCGGAATTGGTGTATCATTGACGTGAATTCCCAGCGGTAGCCTGACCTCCTTCGCCCAGGTGGTGATCAAGATCGCAGAGGATTATGTAGGGGAGATTGTTAGGCTCCTTGCAGTGAAGAAGCGAGAAAGCTAGGAGAGATACCCGTTTATTTTCGAACGCAAGTCATCAATTCCATTCCCAGTCGCCATGATCGAGCAATCGTCGGCGTAAGAGACAATGCCCGGCACGATTGCAAAATCAACTTTCAAAAACACGCACGAGCCCGCACGTTAAGAATTTCAGTGGGGTCCGGCCCGGCCCGGCCCGGCACGCTCGGTTTGGACGCCGGGGACTAGTTGGACGCAGTGGACGAAGCTACAGACTTGTCAGAACGCCGCACTCCGGACAGCGACTGGGTGCCTTCTGATGACGCCTGAGCACCACCTGCACAGCGAGGCTCCCCGTAAGGGAACTCAACAAAATGCTCTGTAAGCAATTTCTGGTGGGGTGTCACAGAAGTGAACACCCTAACAGACCGTTGCTTCAGGAGGAGCCTCCGCCCAGGCACGTCAGGGGGCACCTATTCGTGTACAAGGACGCAGTCCAACAGTACGTAGACCAACCATTGGACCCGACGACATACAGACGAGCCATCAACGACATTCATAGAGAGTCAGTCACTATCTACCTCGACTCTCGACCTATGAATGCCGTAATACGAGCCCAATCACCACCTGTAGAAGAGACGGAGCTTCAACTGCCACGAGAGACCCGCGTTACCCTGGCTCAATTACGGTCTGGATACTGTAGCCGCCTCAGCTCGTTTCCTGGGCCTCCCGTTAGTTGAGCTTGACGAAAATGATTGAACGTATGTAGACCCGCAAAAGGCGGGGCTTAGTAGTGCCGCTACAACAACAACAACAACCCGGCACGACGGGACACGCCCCAGCCCGGAAATAAAGAGCCAACTTTTATTGCATGTATACATATGTACATATTTTTAATTTTGTGTTAATGTATCAATTATGTATTATGTATCAATTTTACATCAAAGAATTTTATAATATATTTTCTGGGAAGTAGAAAAAGTGGAAGGTATTTTATGTACCGATATGAAAACGAAACTACTAAGTATCTTATTTTTTCTATCGGTTTCCAAATATTTCTTTTTTTGCTTTTCTTTTATCAATAGAGTTTTAAATATATATGTACTATTTTTTTTTGTATAAAAACAAAAGCTCATTTAAATTTGTAGTATTAGCAACGGGATTTTTCGTGCTTATTCGTGCTTTTATGAAATTTTACTGAACGCCCATGCACGCACGAGTTCGTACTGACAGCAAACATTCCGGCCCGTGCCCATCTCTAATCGAGNCCCCGTAAGGGAACTCAACAAAATGCTCTGTAAGCAATTTCTGGTGGGGTGTCACAGAAGTGAACACCCTAACAGACCGTTGCTTCAGGAGGAGCCTCCGCCCAGGCACGTCAGGGGGCACCTATTCGTGTACAAGGACGCAGTCCAACAGTACGTAGACCAACCATTGGACCCGACGACATACAGACGAGCCATCAACGACATTCATAGAGAGTCAGTCACTATCTACCTCGACTCTCGACCTATGAATGCCGTAATACGAGCCCAATCACCACCTGTAGAAGAGACGGAGCTTCAACTGCCACGAGAGACCCGCGTTACCCTGGCTCAATTACGGTCTGGTTACTGTAGCCGCCTCAGCTCGTTTCCTGGGCCTCCCGTTAGTTGAGCTTGACGAAAATGATTGAACGTATGTAGACCCGCAAAAGGCGGGGCTTAGTAGTGCCGCTACAACAACAACAACAACCCGGCACGACGGGACACGCCCCAGCCCGGAAATAAAGAGCCAACTTTTATTGCATGTATACATATGTACATATTTTTAATTTTGTGTTAATGTATCAATTATGTATTATGTATCAATTTTACATCAAAGAATTTTATAATATATTTTCTGGGAAGTAGAAAAAGTGGAAGGTATTTTATGTACCGATATGAAAACGAAACTACTAAGTATCTTATTTTTTCTATCGGTTTCCAAATATTTCTTTTTTTGCTTTTCTTTTATCAATAGAGTTTTAAATATATATGTACTATTTTTTTTTGTATAAAAACAAAAGCTCATTTAAATTTGTAGTATTAGCAACGGGATTTTTCGTGCTTATTCGTGCTTTTATGAAATTTTACTGAACGCCCATGCACGCACGAGTTCGTACTGACAGCAAACATTCCGGCCCGTGCCCATCTCTAATCGAGACTCCCTCTGGTGGTTGAGGAAGCTTGGAAATATAAAAGCTAAACAGTAGTGGAGAAAGGACACCACCCTGTGGAACCCCCTGTTTTATTTTTCTCAGTTTGCTCGATTTGTCTCTAAACATTACCGACGAGTGTCGAGCACTCAGATAATTCGCCGACCACCGTTTGAGCCTCTGTGGGAGATAGGAAGCCTCTATCCCCCTTATTCTAGAACCCGAATTTTTGTAATTCGTAATTCGTAGCTATGCTACGAAAAACGAAAAATCCACATGCTGCAACCCTTGCGAAAACATGTGCAGCATTGCCAGCTATCAGTTGTTTTTCGAATATAGGTGAATGAAGGAAAACGAAGTGGAAAGGAATTAAAAAAACACTCATCAAGTGTTTATTTATAGTAAAATTTTTTGATTTTACATATTTTCAATAAAACGATGGATTCTATTGCATTTGCAATTATAGCAGCGGAGTAAGAGCGCGCTATGGGAATGATGTCACAAAGTTATGCGGAGCTGTTGGGCATAGGAACCATGGGCGCATCTATGTCAGCTTCTGGTTGAATTGTTGAACCACAAGCCAGAACTCCTCCTATGTCTGAAGAACTGGTTCTCAATCCAGTTAATGCCAGCTTCTTCCAAGCCATTGAAAACATGCATTTTGTTATGTCCACCACCTGTTGCACTTGCTTCTGCCTTCGGCCGCGCTTAGGGATTATAACCCTTATGGTGCATTTACATGGTATGGAGCCATATGAACTGTTGATACGCTAAAATAGAGGGACTACATGTTCCAATGAGGAATTCAATGATATCGAGTGGGATGCATATAATAAATTTTTTCATAAGAAAAGTTATGGGGAGATACTGTAAACATACTGTTGTGATACTGTTAAGCATATGAAATTATAGCAAGTTGGATTTTCATACATCTTCCCATAAAAAGTTTAACAGATGCAGAGATACCAAGGAGGGTTTTTTCACATTTTGATGCCTTTTTGATATAAAAACCCACCGAAAAGGAGGAAAGCGGCAACTCCGCCATTCACATACATGTCAAAAGTATGAATTTTAAAATTAAAAACCACGTATACTGTGTTAAAAACAATAAACAAACAAATTCAAAACAAAGAAATTCTTTCTACTAGAACTTTTTAAATAGAAGCAACTCACGTATAGTGGACAATAAAAATACATAGCACTATGATAACAAACTTAAAAACAAGACATTACAGAACATTTTAATGAGCTTTATATCACATTTAAGTAAAAATAAGCCTTTATTTTCCAAGCTGGCAAAGAAATGAAAATGTGTATTTTTTGTTTTTTACACAAAGACTTGCCAAATATACATATAAGTCAAAATTATAGAAAGCATATATACTTCTCCCTTTCATGTTTTCTTACAGTTTATGCTTCTTTATGGCTTTTACAAAATGCAGGGATACCGCACTTATTTTGGTACAATATGATCGTAATGTATTTTCAATTCGAAATCAACGAAAAACATCCCACGAAAATTTTTGCGATTTTAGAACAATTAGTGTATATTTGCAAACTACTGCAAAGAATGGAGTGTCATATCTTAAAAGGTTCAGAGAAATAACGAAACAAAAACATTTTATGGTCTTATATTTCTTTCACACCGCATTGCTATGTTTTCTAACTTTTCATTTTGTTTAGCGCTGTAACCGATTAAGTTATATCTTTTAATTTATACATGTGAATTATTTTCAATGAGCATTTTTTCATTCGCTCCTGAATTTTGGGTACATTTTCTTATAGTACCTCATTCTTTTTTAAATTACATATATGTAGGATGGCCCTTCAATAAATACACGCACACGAGTTTAGTTTTACAAATAACACATATGGGGTGTTCACAGTTCGTTCCAAATAGTGTCTCAAAATGTAGACGTCTACATTTTAAGACGTTTTCTAACCATAAAATCTGTGGTGTTGTTGTTTCCCATACAAAATTGGAAAACGACGCCGTCTACATTTTGTCACACTCAAAGGTATGTTTTTTACGCGTCTACATTTTGCAACCTCGCAGCAGGGTTGCATTATGGCAATACTAATC